TATTAACAGAATTTCTGATACCTAGATAAACACCTCTTCAAATCAAAGTTTATTCGTCTTAAATTAGAGATGCATAAATAAATAATATAGAGACTGCTCAGCTCTTTTTCATTAAACTATGCCCAGTAATTTAGAACGGGAGTTTAGTGGATTAAATAAAACAGGCAATAATTATTATTTTCTGTATTAGCTTACTGTAAAGTGGAAACGAGGAAATGGAAATAATTGATAGGATAAATTAACTTTAAAAGCAGTTAAAGGAAATGATCTTTAAAAAGGCAGTGATTTCTGAATCATTAAGTCAAGATTCATAAAACTGCATATCTGAGCTGTATATTTTAATTATGACATTTTTCAGTTGTAAAAGTAGATCAAGAATCACTTATAATTTTGCTTCTAGAATAAATATTTCTGATAGATTTGTAGTTATGCAACTGTATGCCTGATAATATGCCTCTGATATTGTAGGTTTCTGTTTTTGGGTAGAATTCTATATTAAAATAAGCTAAATAATATCTCCTTGAGAAAACATCAACACTTTAACCATTTCCTTATTTTTGTACATTTTAATATTTTGATTAATGCCATCATGGGCATCTTTTTATTTATAATATTTAGACTTTATTTTAAATTACAGAAGTATATGCTTACTCCTATTCAATAGTTAATTAATTTATCCTGAGGGTCTAGAATTAGCCCTTTTTCCCATTTTTATTTAAGGCTAGTGTGTGTGTGTGTGTGTGTGTGTGTGTGTGTGTTAGCACCATGATTTGCTCTTATCTCAGTGTGTTTCATATTTCAGTCTTAAAAAGTCATTATTAGCTATGTATCCTTGAGAAATTAACTCCTTTGATTCTGCTTAAATATTATGTCTTATAGCATTCTTCATCATTGCATTCTCTACTTGTCTATACCTGCATGTTTTGATTTGTTTTATTGGAAAACATCCTATTCCCATTTAATGGCTTTGTTTATGTGTTCTGTAGTATAAGTTTATTATATTTCTTTAAATTTTAAGCTCATTCAAACCAGCCATTTCTCTATATACTGCCACAAAGATACAGTCAATTGCCTTGTTCACTTATACACCCTATAAGGGAGAAAAATTATGAGAGAAATAACTCTGGAAGACTAACCATTATTATTACTATTATTTTAAAATTTTTGCCGGAAGGCACATGTGTTCACCAGAGAGAGACAGAGAGAAAGACAGATTGTAAGAAGGCACCCCCACCGTAGGGGATGCTCACACTACAATCTAGTCTTCATTTCTTCATCCTGTTGAAATTTCAGGCATTCACACACACTGCCTCCCATATTTCTCAGGCTGCAGGGTTCAGGACTTGAACTGTGCAGTTGTCCATGTGGGATCTAGCCACCTCAACCATCTTACCATCAGCTGGCCCAACTAACCTCTTTAGCTACAGAGTCTATGTCTTCTAAAAAATGACCATGAATCAGTCAGTGTAGGAAGCAAAAGTTCATGTACCACCAGCCCTTGAATGGAGATTGTTTATCTCAGTAGATACGATCTTGTTGAGAGATAAGTTCAAGGATTTTTTGGTTTTGTCTTGTTTTAATCTTAAATTTAGTAAATTAGGGATTGTTAGATTCGATCAGTTGCACAAAAAAGTGCAGACTCTCCATTTCCTTCATACAGGTCAGTAAATGTCAATAAATAAGTACTAGGGGTATAGATACCTTCAGAGAGTCTCAGTTAATTTCCCATGGTTTCAGAGATGTTTATGAAAGTAGGCAACCTTCTTATAGGCAAGAAGTATGAAGAATTAGCTGAGAGTGAGAAGTCAATGGATTTGCAAGGATGGATTTGATAAAACTGAGATCATGTGTACTTACAATTGGGAACACTGAGAATTCAGTGGGTGTCAGAGTGGATACCAAATGCTATGGGCTAAGTACTACTCAGCATTATTAGCTATATATCCTTGAGAAATTAGTCCCATCAGCTAGATACTAATGATTAGAAGCCAGAATAGAAAACAAAAACCTGAAATTACTTTGCTTCCTACTGTAATGCCTGAAATATTTGGAATATGATGATTATGGTTATTGTCATCAACTGGAATTGGGGTTAGAAATAGGTATGAAAATGAACTTTTAAAAAGAAGGTAATTTTTTTTTTTTACATACCATTGTCTATGGTCTGATAATTCGTAAAGGTGATTGTAATAACGTAGCATGGGAAATCTTTAAGTCCAGTACTGAATAGGGTCAGTACACAGGGACGAAATGGTGGTAATTAGAGGTTAGATGGCTTTTGTTTCTTTAGGGCCACAGGTACAGAATTCTAAGTATCTCAAAGTTCTTTTATAGTTGTATCAACTGGACTAGGGAGAAATGTTCACCTGTTGAAATATTCACTTTGTAAGCTAAAGAATGTGATTGAATGTATAAAAGAAAATGAAATAAAAAATAAATAAAAAAGTGTTTAGTATATGCCCTTTGTACCACACTATTAATAAAATAAAAATACAGCATCAAAATTCAATAAAATTAGTAAAAAAAAAAGTTCTTATGTACCCATGTAGGAAAGGCAGAAGAAATAGAAATTTATCAGAATTGGTATTTCTAGGATAAGATTAGGTTAGGTGTAAAAAATAATATTTTTCGTGAGTCAGAATATGTAAATTAAAGGCCCATTCACTCATGAAAATGACAAAAAGCTTAGCTGTTGAGTTTCAGCCAAGGTCTTAAGCATTCTTTCTTTTAACCTCTTCCGTTAGTTGATAGTGTTTTTTACCAAATATTTTTGGTATTACATATTCCCACCCCAGCAATTGCATGCATTTCTTTAATCCCTTGTCCTTTGGTGTATGAAATACATGCTGGCTTTCAGTTGTGGGAGAAATTATAGATATTGTAATAGGTCAGACGGATACAAGAATGGATGAAGAGGGCAGAACTTCCAGCATTGTGCACTGGCGACCTCCATAAAGTCATTCTTTTATAACAACAAGGAAGTGCTGGAAAAAATGTCAAAATGAACTTTTATTAAAATGCTGGAAATAAATCAAATGTTCGCAACAATATGAGGAACACTCATTTAAGAAAAACAACAGGTTTTGGTTAAAAAAAAAAAAAGCAGAGTTTGTGACTTTTTATATTGACCTATTTTAATCCTCTTTTCTCTAATTCTATGATCGCTTGGAAGTACTGGAGCCTTGTAGCCAGTGGAGAGGGCAGGCTGGTTAGAAGTCCCTCACAAAGTCCGACTCCAGAGCATTGCCACATTGTGACTGGCCCGGCAGCTCCCTGGAAAAGCCCTTTTCACTGTGCATTGTTATTTAACCCTGAGAATAGTGTTACACGTATTAAGAAGTGAATTTAATGATTAAAAGCAAATAATAAGTATCACCCATCCTATAATAACTATTTTTTATTTAAAATTACATATGCATCTTTGAATGTACACCTTTAAGTATTAAATTATAGCATACTTTGAGCTACTTTCAGTAGTACATAAAAAGATCAAGAATAAATGGTAAGAACAATATCAATCTTTTCTGATAAATACTGAAAGTTTAAAGTTAAAAGTTTAAAGTTAGAATTTCTACTAATAAAAGACACGATTGGGACCAGACTGGGCTACAGTAGTAAAACATGTCCTTCAAAGCAATTCCAGAGACCATGCCACACAGGGGCTTGCCCACTCAGAGCTAGGCTGAAACTGCGGGTGGATGGCGGAATCAAGATCCTTTTGGAGGTGTTGTATCTCTCCTTCTTCGTGTCTTGCTCATGGAAAAGATATCTTACAATTGAAGCACTGAGTTTTTATTTCAAATGTACTTATTTATTTATTTATTTTTTATTGCCAAAGGACATTTGTACTTGCTAGTGTAAGAAAGAGAAAGACAAAGAAACAAATCACCTCTCAGTGGGGTGTGGTTATGCTGAAATCCTTTTTCCTCCATTTCTGCATCCTGCCAGCATTTTGGGCATGCATGTCGGGGATGGTTTTAAAGCCATGGTTTTAAAGTCTGAGAATGCTGCTGCAGTGGGCTGTATGGGATCTGGCTCCTTATGTAGAGGCACCCGCTATGGAGTCAGCCTCCAAGTTTCTTATTAAAAAAAAAAAAAAAGAAAAGAAAGAGAACATAGAAGAGCAGAACTGGACAGGGGTGCAGTGATAACTTGCAACATTTTATGAGGCAGTCCCCCACCAGGTTCTTGGTTCAGTACTGTGGCCTAAGCAGGGAAACACGAACCTGAAAGGAAGCGATGGTGGATTGCAAAGAAACACACACACACACGTAGAGAAAAGTGGGGATGTGGTGGTCCAGGTACCTCCGATGGAGATAGCTGAAGCCCTGAGCCCTTCCCAGGTTTATTCTTTTATAGGGAAAAGGTAGAGGAAGAAGTGAAATGTGAAGCCGGATGTTCTTTGTGTTACCAAGTGAAGCTGTGGAGCATCTTGTGTCCTGCAGTTTCAAACCAGCCACCTCCTGTCTCCCGTGGCCCTCTCTGGATGATACTCAGTTTCTCTTAACCTCCTCTGGCCTTGCAGCCTCTGTACCAGAGAGTGGGACTGTTCCTCTGTCCATCTTTAAAGGTTATCATTGTTCTGCTCAGATCCAGCTGCCCTCTTCAGCTCAAATTCAGAGACCTCTCTGAGTACACTGGGCACAGGCTTGCCCATGATCCAGGCTGGCTGAAGGCTAGGGCTGGAGTGTGGTGTCAGGAGTCTATTGGGAGTGCTATCTCTCTCTCTCTCACTGTCTTTTTCGCTCATGATGATATAAATAACAAAGTTTAAAAATAGATTAAGGTACTATGTAATTTTCTAAGCTTTAAAGGATCTTGAGGGTGCATCCTAATGTTGGAAGGGGAATAAACTCTAGAATTCCTTAGTAAGGCAAAAATATCACAGTTCTCCTTAAATAACTCTTAAATTAAAAAAAAAAAAGAAGACATTTGGAAATTTGAAAAATCAAGGATTTCTTGGTATATTTCCTCTGAATTTGTCATTTTTTTTTCTTAAGGCCTGTTCATAGGACACCATATGAACACAAAACTGTATGGAAGATTCTGAAAACAGTTCCAGATTTAACCTCTCAGCTAAGTGAAAAGCATCTGAAAACCCTTAGTGAGAGTGTCATTTCTGAAACCTGGGCGAAAGGGAGCACAGGTAAGAGCCCCAAGTGGAGAGAAATTTGGTAAGATAAAATGTCTTGTCATTATTTTGAGTTCTCTATCATTATGATGGTCATTAATTTACCTAACATATTAAAAATGCACCATTTGGATGTATGTCTTTGTAAGTTTATAAGCAGTGAAATAAAAAAGTCTCTCCTTTTGGTCCTAATGACTTAAGATACACACCAGTGCTTTGCCACCTTGAGTATGCGCCAGGAGAGGATTCATTGATTCACATAAGGCTGGGCTCAACCCCCTTGGTTTCTGGCTCAGTATGTCTAGCGTAGGTCCTAAATTACATTTCCAACACTATGTCAGATTATGTTACTAGTCTGGGGACCTCACTTTGTGAACCACTCACTGATAACAGACATTTAGCAACAATCTAGCATTGGTTTTCATAGTTACGATAGCAAGTGGTCAAGTGATTATTTGATCTACATACTAATCTAGATATTGGGAACTAGTCCTCCAGACAGATAATAGCTTCCAATTTTAGTCCCTAGTCCCTTCCTTTACCAAGAATACATCAATGGAAATATTTATATATATAAATATATATATATGTATATATATATCAATAGGAATGTCATGGTGCATTTTTTGCATAGAAAAATATAACTTTCCCAAAAACCTAATATATTTTTGAGGCTCAAGGAAAAAATTACAAGTTCAGAAGAAATAAACCAAGAAATTCTTGTATTTTCAAATTCCCAAATATTTATATTTTTAAATTTAAAAGTTATTTAAGGAGAAGTGTGATGAAATTCTATCTTACTAATCAACTTTAGAATTTATTCCCCTCCCAACATTAAGATGTATCCTCAAGATTTTTTTTTTCATTTCTTTTATAAAGAGAGATTTTTGCTATAGGATGTGTGTACTCACTGGAGAGACAGGCAGATACAGAAAGTGAGATATCACCCGCCAAAGGGGATTGCCCAACCACAATCCCTTCTTCTTCATTCTCCTGTAGGGATTTAGGGCACACATGCTCAGGTACCTGGTGTGTTTTAAGCTGCCAGGTCCAGTATTTGAATCACAGGTGACTATGTGGGAGTCCAACAATGTACCATTACACCATCTGCAGGCCCCACACCCTCAAGATTTTTCAAACCTTAGGAAGTTACATAATACCGTAATCTATTTATATTCTAGTGTTTGTAATTACACATTTCCCCAAAAGTTTCAAAAGCAATAACATATATAATAACACTTTAATATCAATATATAATGTATTATTAATATTAATATACTAGTATATTATATAATGATATATTTAAGCATATAATTATATATTTTATAATCATATAAAATATAATATATAATTGTATAATGTTTATATGCTATATATATTATTGAGCTAAGGTATAGAATTAAAAATATTCTTTGTGTAGGGGCATCCATTTTTTATCCTCACAGAAACAAAGGACAGATATTATTCTCTACAAACAAATGGAGAAGATTATATAAAAATGATTAGAACCAAGTTCTAAACACACAGAAGCCTAATGCCAAACTTATTCTCTGTGTGTTATGTCACTGTTTGTATAAAGTGTTTCTTAGGATCATCACACTTAAAACCTAACTAGAATCTTGGAGAACATGTGTCAGTTGAAAAGATTGACATATTTCAAGTTTTCCCCCAGTGGTCTTCTCTCATAATTAACCCCATTTAATCAGATCAAGGAGTGAAAAATAAAGGAGTTTTGCAAAGGATAAAATGATTTTGAATATGAAAACAGAGGAAATATTCAATAGCACCTTGCCACTAGTTTGAAGATTGTAATTTGAAATGAATTTGTCCTGTAAATTATATTTATAATGGTAAAAGATACAAAAAAATCCCTAAGTGTTCTTCAACAGAAAACTGACTATATACATCATGATACATCTGTTCTATGGAATTTTAGGCAATAGTTAAAACAAATGAGGATGATTGGTATATATTGATGTGGGAACATTAAATATAGAAACTAAACATAGAATAATTGCAGAATTATGGCATCTAAATTTATGTATATATGTGTGGATATGTATATCTTTCTTGAATACATAGAACTGGGTCCAGTATATGTTAAAATTGTTGTCTTAGTGTA